TAGCGAGCAGGTGGCGGGGGGAGGCAGGGTATTGTCCTGACTAGGAGGAAGCTGGGGCAACACTGTCCTGGTTGCTCTCAGGCAGAGGCGAGGGTAAAGCATTGCTGCCATCCAGAGACATCTGTTTCCCACATCTCAAGCCCTCTGCAGGGCTAGAGCGACAGCACAGAGCCTAGGTAGGGCGTTTGCCTTGCACCCGGGTTCGATTCCCAGCATCCCAGATGCCCCCTAGTCACTGCCAGAAGTAATTCCTGAGTGCAGAGCCAGGAGTAACTCCTGTGCATCGCCAGGTGTGACCCCCCCCCCCCAAAAAAAGCACTGTAACACTGTCCTCCAGTTGTTCATGGATTTGCTGGAGCGGCCCGGTAATGTCTCCATTGTGAGACTTTGTTGTTACTGTGTCACGGGTAGCTTACTCTCGGTAGCTTGCAGGGCTCTCCGAGAGGGGTGAAAGAACTGAACTCTGGTTGGCCAGGTCGGCCACATGCAAGGCAAACACCTTAGCCACTGTGCTGCAGCTCCACCCAGCTGCGCCGCTGGTGTAGTGGTATCATGCAAGATTCCCATTCTTGCGACCCGGGTTCGATTCCCGGGCGGCGCACTTCACTTTTTGACTCAAAAAAAAGCAAAAAAAAATAAAAGATCTTCCAGCCCCTGACCACCAGAAAGTAAAGCCCATTAATCTATGTTATTCATAGAAGTATCAGGTTCCCCTCGCAACAGACCAGTTCCCAGACGAGTTGGGACCCCGGGGAACTCTCTACGGGTCCAGCGACCTCTAGTGGTCGAGCGATCGTGCCAGGGAGCACTCCAAGAAAACTGTATCCACGACGGAAAACATCTTATTTTTTGCTTTGTTTTGGGCCACATCTTTTGGTGTTAGGGGGCTACTCCCTGCTCAGTGTTGGGGGTCAGTTCCTGGGATACTCAAGGGACCACGAAGTGCCAGGATTCAACCTGGGGTTTGCTCCAGAGCCACACTGGTCAATGCACAGGGTCACTCCCAGAGGTATTCAGGGGACCATGTGGTGCCAGGGACCATATCAGGGTCAACTGCAGGCAAGGCAAGTCAAAAAAGTACATGTTCTGGGGCTGGAGCGATAGTACAGCGGGTAGGGCGTTTGCTTTGCACACGGCTGACCCAGGTTTGAATCCCAGCATCCCATATGGTCCCCCAAGCACCGCCAGGAGTGATTCCTGAGTGCAGAGCCAGGAGGAACCCGTGTGCATCGCCGGGTGTGACCCAAAAAGCCAAATAAATAAATAAATAAATAAATGAAATTTTTTTTTAAAGTAGATATTCCACAGCACTGCTGGGTGGCCAGGAGACTATAGGATGTCCTTGGGCCCTTGCGCCAAGCCAAAGACCAGTTGGCCAGTGGAGCTCCTGGGCCTCTTGAGCACCTTTTGGAAACTCTCACACCCCAGATTACATGATCACCTCAACAGACAAAGAAGCATTCAGCAGGGGCTGGGTATGTCGTTCGGCATTAGAGCAGTTGCTTTGTATACATGAGGCCCTGGGTTTGATCGCCAGCACTACACAAAAAGGGGGAAAAAGCATTCTATAAAACCCAGATTTTCAGCATAAAAACATGCACTTCAGTTCTTTGAACTGTCTCCCGGGCACCCAAGGCGGATGTTCTGAGCCACTGAGCAAATGGTCTTCTCAACCGGTTACTTTTATGTTGTTAGGGAGGTAGATAGCTAATGGCATGTGTGAGATGGTGAGGGACGGAGAACCATCATCAAGCTTAATGGAACCCAGGCAGTGAGGCTTAAAGCCAGGCACCAATCCTAGTTTATAGTAGTAATAAACTTCCTTGGAGTCTTTATGACTTCCTGAAAAGTTTCTCCCTCTGTTACAGCCAGAGGAACAAGCTAGGTCAATCCCAGGTGACCTCTGAGCAAACTCTAGCTCATTATACAATCATTGTAAAACTTTGACTTATCTGGGGTCCGGCGCACTCAGGTGCTGGCCTTGCATGCAAGCCTACCTGGATCAACACCCGGGTCCTTGAGCCCGCCGGGAGTGATCCTTGAGTGCAGAGCTAGGTGTGACCCCCCAAATAAAACAAAAACCAAAAAGCCCTTTAACTTATCAAAATTATGCCCACCAGTGCCAGATCAGTTTAGAGTCTGGCAACCCATGCAAGTGGCCAGATACGGTCTGTCCCTCAGAATCCAGGTATCCGCCATCCACTTGGGGAGGGTAGTGGGGGATAGAGAGGAAAGGCAGGAAGTCTGCATCCGTAGAGGTGGGCTTTGACACCCTCTTGCATCCTACTCCCTGCTTGCAGGAGTGTCTTCGCTTCTCTCTCTCTCTCTCTCTCCCTCTTTTTTTTTGTTTTGTTTTAGATCACACCCTGGTTAATGCACAGGGTGTGTGTTCATTCACTCAGGATTTACTCCTGGCGGTGCACGGGATATGGGATGCAGGAAATCAGACCCAGGTCGGATGCGTGCAAGGCAAATGCCCTATCCACTGTGCTGTCGCTCCAGCCCGTTATTTTCTTTTTTCCCTACAGAAGCACTTGACTTTATCCCAGTTATAGACTAGTTTCCTTTACTTGTTTCCTCTTTCCTTTTTCTTTTTAGTTTTAAGACCACACCTAGCAATGCTCAAGACTCACTCCTGGCTTTGCACTCAGGAGTTACTGTTGGCTGTGCTCTGGGAACAATCTGGGAACCAGGGGATGGAACCCAGGTCAGCCACATGCTAGGCAAGTGCCTTACCCGCTGTGCCATCTCTCCAGCCCCGCACTGGAATATTTTAAAAACACATGCTACAGCCAGAGAGGTAGTAGAGAGGTTAAAATGTTAGCATGGTTGGCCCTATTTGGATCCCTGGCACCGCCAAGGGTGGCACCAAATTATAGAGCCAGGATTAAGCAGTGTGCACTGCTAGGTGTGGTCCCCAAACCAAAAAAATACATCATTTACACAAAAAGTCAGATTCAGACATATTTATGATTCCATTTCTGTGAAATGCATCTTTTTTTTGGGGGGGCACACCGGGCTTGAGTGATAGCACAGTGGGTAGGGTGTTTGCCTTGCACGCGGCCAACCTGGTTGACCAGAGTTCGATTCCTCCGCCCCTCTCGGAGAGCCTGGCAAGCTACCGAGAGTATCTTGCCTGCACGGCAAAGCCTGGCAAGCTACCTGAGATGTATTTGATATGCCAAACACAGTAATAACAAGTCTCACAATGTTACTGGACCCGCTTGAGCAAAATCGATGAACAATGGGAGGACAGTGACAGTGACAGTGACCTGGCAATGCACAGGGGTTACTCCTGGCTCTGCACTCAGGAATTACTCCTGGAGGTGCTCAGGGGACCATATGGGATGCTGGGAATCTAAACCGGGTCGGCCATGTGCAAGGCAAAAGCCCTACCCGCTGTGCTATCGCTCCAGCCCCCAAAATTGTCTTTTAAAAAGAGGGAGGGGGGCTGGAGCGATAGCACAGCGAGTAGGGCACGCGGCCGACCCGGGTTCGATTCCCAGCATCCCATATGGTCCCCTGAGCACCACCAGGGGTAATTCCTGAGCGAAGAGCCAGGAGTAACCCCTGTGCGTTGACGGGTGTGACCCAAAAAGCAAAATAAAATAAAATAAAAAATTAAAAAGAGGGAAGGCCGGGCAATAGTACAGCGGGTAGGGCGCTGGCCTTGCACTTGGCCGACCAGGGTTCTGTCCCTGGAGCACCTCCAGGAGTAATTCCTGAAAGCAAAGCCGGGAACAACCCCCCTGAACCAAGCTGGATGTTCCCACGCTCCCCAACAAACAAGAAGGGACTCATATTGTGGGGACTGCCTCCCCAAAACCTGGCTCCCTGGCTCCTGCTGGTGACCCGGTAAGAAGATGATGTGGGCGGGAAAAAGACCTGGTGTGACCCGCCTTGCCCAGCCCCTGCGCGAGTCACACTACCTTGTACTCAAATAAATTACCCAGCTGATGACTGCGGTGCAAAGTGCAGCAGGGAGGAGAAAGTGATACAGGAACGGAGCCTGGGAGACCAAAGCCGCAGCCTGGAAAGCCCCCTCCGAGAGCACCATCTGAGTCTGAGGTACCACGCCTGCCCTCGCTCCCCCACCCCGGTCCCGCCCAAATGCATCAAATGCATCACTTCTGGCTGAGATGCATTTGAAGTCAGTTTTCCTTGGTTCCGTTTTTTGTTTGTTTGTTTTTGTGCCACACCCACCCACGCCGGGGGTTTACTCCTGGCTCTGCACTCACGGGTCACTCCTGCCGGTGCTTGGAGGACCTATACGGTGCTGGGGATTGAACCTGGGTCCCTGGGTGGAGCCCTAGCCACTGCACTCTCTATGGCTCAGGTTCCCCAAATTATACAGCTAAGCACTGCTTTGGGGGAGTTTTGGGGCCACAGCCGATGGTGCTCAGAGCTGACTCCTAGTTCTTTTGCTCAGAAATCACTTCTACTTTTTTTTTTTTTTTTTTTTTTTTGCTTTTTGGGTCACTCCCGGCGATGCACAGGGCTTACTCCTGGGGCGCTCAAGAATTACCCCTGGCAGTGCTCAGGGGACCATATGGGATTCTGGGAATCGAACCCGGGTCAGCTGCGTGCAAGGCAAATGCCCCACCCGCTGTGCTTTTGCTCCAGCCCCAGGAATCACTTCTAGAAAGATCGGGGAATCTTATTAAGGGGTGCTGGGGATGGAACCCAGGTCAGCCCCGTGCAAGGCAAGCACTCTACCGCTGTCGTTATTGCTCCGGCACGAAGTCCTTTTCCCAAGCTAGAGTTTGATGCCCCGTGTCTCCTAGCGGACAGCAACCCTGCGGGCGCGGGCGCGGGCGCGGGACTGAGGGCGCGCGGCCGCGGCCGGGGGGAGCGCACGGTGGCGGAGAGGCCTCCCGCCGCTAGGGGGCGCCGTGCGAGCGGGCCCCGCCCCGCCCCGCGGCTGCGCTCCCTCTTGGGCGGCGGTGCTCTGCAACTCGGATCCGGCGGCACGCAGCTGCTCGGGTTAGAGGTTCCGGAGCGCGGCGCGCGGGGAGCCCGGCCGCGGGGACACGCGGAGCCCGGCGGAGGGTCGGACCTCAGGCCGGCCCGCCCCGGGGAGCCGGAGACGGCGAACCTGGGGAGGTAACGCGAGAAGGGGCGGGGCCGGGGCCGAGGGGGCGGGGCCGGGGCCGAGAGGGGCGGGACCGGCCGGCTGTCAATCAGCCCCGCTTCCGGGCCGGTCGCCGCGTCCCCTTCGCCTGTCGCCTCCTCCACTGCCGCTGTCCCCGCAGGTCGAGCGTCCATGGAGCAGTTCCTGGCCCAGCTGTGCGGCACCAGCGAGTCGCAGCCGCTCCCGGTGTGGGAGGGCGACACCACGGGCCACTGCTTCACCCAGCTGGTGCTCAGCGCCCTGCCCCACGCGCTCCTCGCCGTGCTCAGTGCCTGCCACTGGGGCACTCCGAGGTGGGTAGCAGGGGAGCTGCGGGACATCTGTCCTCGGTGCCCGCGGACACTCCCCGTCCCCGGAGTCTAACCAGAAGAGCCAGGTCTTGGGAGTGGAGCACGGGTAGAGCAGAAGCTGGGCGTTAGCCACTTGGCAGCAGCGTGCCTTTGGGTAATCTCCTTGTGCTCACCCCATGGCATTGCTGAGAGTTTATTTTTATTATTTTATTTTGTTTTTTGCTTCTTGGGTCACACCCGGCAATACTCAGGGGTTGCTCCTGGCTCATGCAGTCAGGAATTACTCCTGGCGGTGCTCAGGGGACCATATGGGATGCTGGGAATCGAACCCGGGTTGGCCGCGTGCAAGGCAGACACCCTACCCGCTGTGCTATCACTCCAGCCCCTATTTTTAATTTTTAATTGTATGCTTTTTGGGTCCTACCCGGCGGTGCTCAGGGGTTACTCCTGGCTCTGCACTCAGGAATTACTCCTGGTGGTGCTTGGGGGACCATATGGGATGCTGGGGATCCAACCCGGGTGCACCACATGCTAAGGAAAATGTCATCCCCGCTGTACTTGCTCCAGCCCCTTCTGGGAGAGATTTTAAATCAGATAGCGCGTTTATGCATGTAACTCTGTCCCTGGCACATAGATGGTGCCCTTTTGCGGGGTGCAAATCGTCACATGTGTGCAGTTTCAGATGCCCAAGCACAGCTCATCATGAAGTGGATGCAAAATTGAGTGAACACTATTGTCCAGAGTAGGTGGACTTGTGTTGAAGTTGTAAGACTCTGCTGTGAATCCTGAGTTCCTAGGTTAAGAAAAACATTTGGCGGCCAGAGAGATAGTACAGGGGATAAGGCCCTCCATTTGCATATGGCTAACCATGGTTCAAATCCCTTGAGCACAGAGCCAGGAATAGCCCAGAACACCCCAGGATGTGACCCCAAAACTAACGAAGTATGTTATGTTGGCTGTTGGAGGTTGGTACATGGGCTCCGAGTTCACCATGTCCCACTTTAGGACTTTGGTCAGTCTTCCCTCTCAGAATCCTCATCAGTACCCTGAGTAGTGAAGAATCCTCCTCCCCCCCCAGATCCTTTCCTGCCTGGCTATATCTCTTGGAGGGTCTCACTTCAGGATAGCCCAAAGTGAGAGCACCATAGTTTCTGTTGGTTTCATAAAGGTCTTATTGAGCTCCCAAAGGACTGTCATTTTGGGATTTTGCTTTGTATTCTTTTGTTTGGGTGTTGCTGGGGGTAAGGTGGGTTGAGCGAGGCTTTTTCAGCTCTGTGCTCGGTAGTGACCCCTGGCGGTGCTCAGAGGACCATATACAGTGCAGATCATTGTTAATCCAGTAGGACTTCCTGGGAGAAAAGACCCTGGCTTCCCGGCTGCAGTTACAGGCTTGGGCGCACAGTGCCGGCAAGGGAGTTGATTCTGTGAGTCACGGGAGGTATGGGGGGTCCCAAGTCAGCCGTGATGTGCCTTTTTTTCTTTTCCCCTTATCCCCAGGAACCCAGAGTACAGCCTTTCCTGCATTCCTGGCTGGCAGCTCCGACTCACGACCTCCTTCCTGCTCTCCGTCTTTCCCCTCCTCGACCTGCTCCCAGCTGCTTGGCCCCCAGGGGCGGGCCCCGGGCCCCTGGGGTTGGAGGTCCTTGCCAGTGGCGTGGCAGCGGTGGCCTGGCTCAGCCACGGTGTGGCCCTGTGGGTGCTGGCTCGCTCCCCGCACAGCCGCTCCCGGGGGCCCCTGTCCTTGGCTCTGACGGCCCTCCTGCCCGCCCCGGCCCTCGTGCTGACCCTGCTATGGCACTGCCAGCGGGGCACCCTCCTGCCCCCCCTCCTTCCGGGGCCCCTCTCCCGCTTCTGCCTCCTCATTCTGCAGCTCACCGCGCTCCTGGGCTATGGGCTGGGCTGGGCGTTCCCAGGGGGCTCAGGGGGTCCTGGGCTTCCGGAGCAGCTCCTGCCGGAGGCGCAGGAGCGTGAGGTTGCTGAGGATGGGGAGAGTTGGCTGTCACGCTTCTCCTATGCCTGGCTGAGCCCCCTGCTGGCCCGCGGGGCCCGGGGAGAGCTCCAGGAGCCCCAGGACACGTGCCGGCTCCCCTCGAGGCTGCACCCCGCCTTCCTCACCCGGCTCCTCCAGTCCCACTGGCAGGAGGGCGCCCAGCTGTGGCGGGCCCTTCACGGGGCCTTCGGGCGGCGCTACCTGGCCCTCGGGGTGTTGAAGTTGGTGAGCACCATGGTGGGATTCTCGGGGCCGCTGCTGCTGTCCCTCCTGGTAGGCTTCTTGGAGGAAGGGCAGGAGCCCCTGAGCCGGGGCGTGCTCTACGCCCTGGGACTGGCCAGCGGCGCCGTGCTGGGGGCCGTGCTGCAGAATCAGTACCTGTTCGAGGTCCGGAAGGTGATGCTGCAGGTGCAGGGGGCGGTGATGGGCATCCTGTACCAGAAGGTGCTGCAGCTGGGGCCCCGGCGCCCCCCGACGGGGGAGGCCCTCAACCTGCTGGGCACCGACTCGGAGCGCCTGCTCAACTTCGCGGGGAGCTTCCACGAGGCCTGGGGCCTGCCCCTGCAGCTGGCCATCACCCTCTACCTGCTCCACCGCCAGGTGGGCGTGGCCTTCGTGGGGGGGCTGGTCCTGGCCGTGCTGCTGGTACCCGTCAACAAAGCCATCGCCACCCGCATCATGGCCAGCAACGAGGGGATGCTCCTGCACAAGGACGCGCGGGTGAAGGTGAGGGGCTGTGCGGGCCCCTCGGCATCCCCCACCTCGCGGCCTTTCCCTCTCCCCTCTGTCGCACACACGCGCACATGCGCACACACACACTCACACACTCACACTCTGTCCCGTGGGGAGCAGGACCCAGAGATACACAGTGGGGAGGGCGCTTGTCTTGCATGCAGCTGATTTTTTTTTTTTTTTTTTTTTTTTTTTTTTGCTTTTTGGGTCACAACTGGCGATGCACAAGGGTCACTCCTGGATCTGCACTCAGGAATTACTCCTGGCGGTGCTCAGGGGACCATATGGGATGCTGGGAATCAAACCCAGGTCGGCCGCGTACAAGGCAAACGCCCTACCCCCTGTGCTATCACTTCAGCCCTCTGCACGCAGCTGATCTTACTCACTCTGCAGCACCCCGTCTGGTCCCCTGAGTCCTGCCAGGAGTAATTCCTGAGTGCACAGCAGGGAGTAACCCTTGGGCATCGCTGGGCGTGGCCCAACCACAAAAGAAGGAGACAGGTTGGTTGCACACTCTGGCTCTCCCGTTGGCCGCTTTCCTCACCTCTGACGAGCTTCTGTGGGCCCCCCTTGCTCGTGTCTGGATCAGGGGTGGTCATTGAGGCCTGGAGTGGTGGTGATGATCAGAGGACAAAGTGCTTGAGGCAGTGTCTGGCACCCGGGGAGGTGATGGCGGATCCTGAACCCTCAGCAACCAGAGGGGAGTTGGCCCTGTCTGGGACAGGATAAGGTGGTTGGGCTTGAGTTTGGTTTGGGTTTGGGGGCCATGCCTGGCAGTGCTCAGGGCCTATTCTTGGTCCTGTACTCAGGGATCACTCCTGGTGGTGCCCCAGGAAACATATGGGGTGCCAGCTTTCGAACCCAGGGCAGCTGTGAGCCAGGCAATCTCCTTCCCCGATGTCCACTTCAGCCCAGATGCCCCCCATCCTCCACCTGCAGTTCCAGGGATGGAGTCGCCCCTCAGAGGCAGAGACTACAGCCTGGCTCCAGATCCAATGGATTTTGTTTTCGTGGTGTTGGCATAGAACTTAGGGCCCCACACACCCGCGGCCATGCGCCCCCCTGCCCCCCATGCTGAGCTGCCTCCCGTACCCTCGTTGATCGAATGGGGGAGAGAGGCCACACCCTGTGGTCTCAGGGGTTACTCCCAGCTCTGCTCGGGACCGTGCAGGTGCTGGGCATCAGGTCCTAGGCCTCCTGCTCCTCCAGCCCATTGTGCCCTTCTGTGCTCCTCAAATGAGCGTCACCCCTGTCACTGGCCGCCTCTGCGATAGACCCATGACTGCTTGTGGACATGCCGCGGGGAGCCCTGGCTGCCCCCTCGAAGCTGAGTCCAGTTGCTGAGTGTTCCCTGAACTAGTGCTGGCTTCTGCAGATTGGGCGTCCCTTTACACACCTTCACCCTCCGCTGCTGGGGGCTGTCTCTCAGGTGGCCCTGAGAGCTGTCAGGATTTGTTTTTTTTTTCTTTTTGGGTCACACCCGGCTCTGCACTCAGGAGTTACCCCTGGCACTGCTCAGGGGACCATATGGGATGCTGGGAATCGAACCCGGGTTGGCCGTGTGCAAAAGCGAGCGCCCTCCCTGCTGTGCTATTGCTCCAGCCCTGAGCTGTCAGGATTGAGGCCTTCCCCGCCACCCTGACCGTGACCGCCACTGACCACCTTTCCAAGGCCCTTTGGGGAGCACAGAGTTGTCCCGGCTCACAGCTAGGGGCCTTGCATGTGCTCGGGGCCCAGGACTCCCATCTGGCCCCAGCCCGTCACAGGCTTGTCTGGCCACAGTCTCCTGGAAGCCCCAGCGATGCTCCTGTGTCCCCACACTGGGGCTATGCTGGTGCCTGGCCCCCAGAGCCTGCGTCTCCTGTCCCCGGGGCAGTAAGCCCCTCCTTAGAGCAAGTGCCTTTCACCGACATTTCTCCTGGGAAAGTGGGGGATTCCTGCTCTGAGCTGTCTCCCTGGGATAGGTACAGGGTCAAGGCCAGGAGGGGAAGCCCCCCAGGAGAAACACCCCCCCCCCAACACACACACATACACACACGCACTGTCCCCTCTCCCCCTCCTTAGCTCATGGCGGAAGTGCTGGCTGGCATCCGGGTCATCAAGTTCTTCGGCTGGGAGCAGGCGCTGGGGTCGCGCGTCGAGGCCTGTCGGGCCCGAGAGCTGGGGAGGCTGCGGGTCATCAAGTACCTGGACGCGGCCTGTGTGTACCTGTGGGCCGCCCTGCCAGTGGTCATCTCCATCGTCATCTTCATCACCTACGTCCTCTTGGGCCACCAGCTCACGGCCACCAAGGTGAGGGTGGGAGGGACGCAGAGGTGGGCCCCTGCTCTCCGTGCTGGTGGGGGGAGGGTCCCTGGCTCTGCCTTGTAGCTCCGAGTCTCTGAAGGGATTTTATTCTGGGGGGCGGGTGAGGGGTGCACAGCCGGCAGTGCTCAGGGCTTACTCCTGACCCTGCACTCAGCGATCACCCCTGGCAGTGCTCAGGGGACTGTGTGGGGTGCCAGGCATGGGGCCCAGGTCAGGTATATATGAGACAAGAGGCTCACCCGCTCTCTTGTGTCTGCGGTCTCCTGAAAGGAAACTTTTCTGTGGCCTGCAGAGATAACCCTTCTCTCCAAACAACTTCTCTTCTTTCCTTTCCAACTTCTTGTCCAGCCCAGGATTATTCACTCATCCTAATTATCATGACTTGGCAAGGCATCTTTTTTTAAACATTTTTTATTAGTGACAAACCAAGAGGTACAGTAGTAGACTTCCAGATTTTTGTGCTTGGGTTTCAGTTATACAATGATCAAGGACCCATCCCTCCACCAGTGCCCATTTTCCACCACCATGGATACCAGTTCTGCACTGTTCTCATCCGGGATCTGGATTTTATAGTCTCTGATAAGTCATCTTATCAGAACCCTTTTTTTTTTATGACATCTTATTGTCTCATTACTACTTTGGACAAACTTGCAGGCTATCGAATGTAGCCTGCCCACAGGGCAGAGTCTGGCAAACTCCCCGTGGCGTACCAAATATGCCAGATACCAGTAACAATGATGGGTCTCATTCTCCTAAATAGCCTTGAATATAATCTCAGGGCTAGGATGAAAGAGACGTTACTGGGGCCTGCTCGAGGCAATCGACGAATAACAGGATGATGAAATGAAATGAAAAAATGGATACCAGTATCCCTCCCATCCCCCATCCCCCCCCCCATCCCACCCTGCCTCTGTGGCAGGGCATTCCCTTTTGTTCTCTCTCTCCTTTTTGGGTGCTGTGGTTTGCAAAAGAGGCATTGAGTGGCAGTCATGTTCAGTCTGTAGTCTACTTTCAGCATGCTTCTCCCATCCTGGGAGGAGTCTCCCAACACCCTTTATTTGGTGCTCCCTTCTCTATCTGAGCTGGGCAAGGCATCTTCTTGATCACTGTTGCGTTTGGCTACTTTGTTTCTGTGTGTGTCTGTGTGTGTGCGTGTTTGTGCACGCATGAGCGCGCGTGCATGTGTGCATATAGGGTTTGAGCCACACCCAGAGGTGCTCAGGGGCCATTCCTGGTTCTGTGCTCAGGCGTAACCCCTGGTTGTACTCTTGAGACCATGTGGTGCCAGGGATTTCAACCTCTGTAATTATCAGGTTGAAAAAAAAATTGTTTTTCTTTCCGCTGGCGTAGCTTCTGGGGACCATATGGGATGGCGGGACTGGAACCCGGGTCAGCCACGCGCAAGGCAAACGCCCTCCCCATTGTGCTGTTGCTCCAGCACTCTCAGATGGAAATCTCAAGGGCTCAGAATGTGCTGCACGGGTTGTGTTAGCTTGGGCCCCACCTGGCAGTGCTCAGGAACTGCAGCGGGCCATGCGTTGAGGGATGGAGCCCCTCCCTAGCCAGGTCTAGGGCTATCTGGGGGCGGCCTTCATCTCAGGGCTGGTGCTGTCACTCCTCAGTCCTTCCCTTCTCAGACCTGTGCCCGGGCCCCTCGGAGAGTCTCAGGATGCCTCCCCCCACCCCCCCAGGTGTTCACGGCCTTGGCCCTGGTGCACATGCTCATTCTTCCCCTCAACAACTTCCCCTGGGTCATCAACGGCCTGCTGGAGGCCAAAGTGTCCTTGGACCGGATCCAGCGTTTCCTGGACCTTCCCAACCACAACCCCCAGGCCTACTACAGCCCAGGTAAGTGGGGCGTTAGAGGGGTCCCCACACAAGTGTGGGGAGATGCCCTGCCTTGGACAGAGTACATAGAAGAGGCCAAGAAGACTGGGGCCAGGCCGAGCCCGGACCCAGGCGTGGGGTGGGGGGTGCCTCACGCTGAGACTTGAGACCGAGTTAGTTCTGTGCAAGTCCTTTTTGTTGATGTTGTTGTTGGTCACACCTGGCAGTGCACAGGGGCCACTCCTAGCTCTGCACTCAGGAATTACCCATGGCGGTGCTCAGGGGACCCTATGGGATGTTGGGAATCGAACCAGGGTCAGCTGCATGCAAGGCAAACGCCCTACCTGCTGTGCTATCGCTCCAGCCCCTAGTTCTGGATGGGTCTGTGTGCGGGACACGTGGGCCGTGGACCACGCAGGGAAGTGGTGGGTGAGGAGCCCGAGCCGACCAGCTTCTTCCCTGTTCAGATCCACCCACAGAACCTTCCACGGCTGTGGAGCTGCATGAAGCCTTGTTCTCCTGGGACCCGGCTGGGACCAGCCAGGAGACCTACATCAGCCACCTCGACGTGAAGAAGGTCCGTGGGTCAGACGTTCACAAAGGAATGGGGGAATTCCTGGGGGGCAGGCAGGGACAGAGCTAGTTGCCCCCAGTGACCCCCAGACAAAGCCTGGATCTGGTAAAGATTGGGGTCATTTGGCAAAGGTGGACTGTTTGGGGGTCTCACTTGGTGGCTCTGATCACCGAGGAAAGGGCTGGAGGGGTTTGGTGAGTGGACGGTCCTTGGAGAGGAGACGCTGTCTCAGCCTGCACTGTCCACCCTCCCCCCCATATGGGGTCACATCATCTCAGGTCTTTGTGTCTCTTGGGGGGATGGGGGAGGTGAGCTACACCCAGTGGTGCTCGGGGACTACTCCTGACTGCTCGGGGGTCTCTCCCAGTGCTGCTCTGGGGACCCCAGGTATGAAGGATCTAACTGGGGTCAGCTGTGTGCAAAGCAGGCGTCTCCTCTCTATACTCCTGCCTGGGCCTCTGCTCTGTAGGCGGCTCACGTCTCCTCAGCCCAGACCAACAGTTGTGTGTGTGTTTGTGTGTGTGTGTGTGTGTGTGTGTGTGTGTGTGTCTGTGTATGTCTTTCTGTCTGTCTGAACAAAGGTTCCGCATCTGCTCTGGGCACCTGGGGAGAGGCCCTGCAGCCTGTCCGAGAAGAGGGAGAGGCCAGAGTAGTAGGACAGCCGGGAGGGCATTTGCATCAAACCCAGGGTCAGTCCTTCCTGTATGTTCCCCGAGTACCACCAGGAGTGATTCCTGAATGCAGGGCCGGGGTCTGGCCCCAAGACAAAGCAAACAAAAAAAGGATGAATAAGATAGTTTGGCCACACCTAGCATTGTTGGCAGGTTCTCCCATGGAAGCTTGTGCGTGTGTGTGCGTGTGTGTGTGTGTGTGTGTGTGTGTGTTGGGGGGGACATCCGAAGTCCTGGGGATTGAACCTGGGCCTCCTGTATACAAAGCATGTGGTCCAGCCCACTGAGCTCTCCCTGGCCCTTCCAAGAGATTTGCCGGAGGGTTCCCTGTAGCCTGGGGTGCAGTGCTCACCCCGTGACCCCCAGCTGCAGACTCGACCCGAGTGAAGCATCCACAGCCCTTGGGTCTGGGTGCCCCGGTTCTGGGTCTTCACCCCCCTGACCTCTGTCCAACCCTTTGCCCCTCAGCTCAACCTCAGTCTTCCCTGGGGCCACCTCTGCCACACTTGGCTCACGTCCTTGGCTGGCACTCTTGGCTTTTTTTTTTTTTTCCCTCTTAGTTCAGGCAAGATGAGGCTGGAATTTTTCAAAGGAATTTTGCTAATGTGTCGGTCAGGGTGTTTTGTTTTTGATCTAAGCCACAGAACCCCCCCCCCCCCCCCCCCGCTCCCCGGACCTACCTTCAGCAAACAAGGACTTATACTATACCCAGGCTGTGGTGACACCTGGCAGGTTTCCCAGGCACATGTCCCTTCGTGCCACCACTCTCTCCCGCAGCTCCAGGGAGACCACCCAGCCCCCTCTCTGATAGGCTGCATCCGGGGAAAGGCAGCATTGCCAGGGTCACAGCACCCCCTGGCTCCGGTGCCCCCTGGCAGAGGGGCCAACCCTAGTTGGCAGGGTGGAGTCATTGTGAAATGCTGTTTCTATTTTTTCCCCCTTTTTTTGATTTTATAACTTTATCAAGTCATCAGTTTAGTTACAGACATTGAATATTCCAACACCAGTCCCACGACCACTATTTATGATTTTCCCAACTACCATAAGTCTTAAGCCTCCCCCATAGCAGACCCTCAATAATTTATTTGACATTACTTGTTATTACTGCACTATACATATATCAAAATATTTTAGCTATATATATATATATTTTTTTTTTGTCGTTGCTTTTTTGCTTTTTGGGTCACACCCGGCGATGCTCAGGGGTTACTCCTAGCTCATGCACTCAGGAATTGCTCCTGGCGGTGCTCGGGGGACCATATGGGGTGCTGGGAATCGAACCTGGGTCGGCCGTGTTGGCTGCGTGCAAGGCAAACGCCCTACCCACTGTGCTATCGCTCCAGCCCCTGCAATATGTATTTTGAATATGTTTCCTTAGAAGAAAGTTAATGAAGATGGTGTATCTCACCATGGAGCTATTAAACCCTTGTATTAGAGATTCCTAAGATGTTGCAGGTTAATCGAGATTGGTTGCTTTCTACATTACATCCCATCCAATGTGGTGGGCTTACTCCTGCTTTATCAGTGTTGTAGAGTTTGAGATGAGTGTGACCTAGGAAGTCCAGCTTTTTTTTTTTTAGGTCACACCCAGTGATGCTCAGGGGTTACTCCTGGCTCTGTACTCAAGAATTACTCCTGGCTAGACATGGAGGGACCATATGGGATGCTGGGGATCTAACCTGGGTCGGCCACATGCAAGGCAGACACCCTACCCGCTGTACTATCACCCCGGACCGGAAGTCCAACATTTTTAATGGGGTGGTATTGCTGGAGTTGAATTTTTAACAGGGTGGTGTGCCTGCAGGGCTTTCAGAAGTACAGGGAGTAGGGGGAAGTAGCCCATCCCCAGCTCCATGAAAGTTGGAGATTTCAGTCACAAAATCTATATACCGAGTTTTTCAGCAGATTAATTTCTGGATGAGGTTTGTCCGAGCAGTGAAGTCTAGCCTGGAGCATGGCAGCGATTGTGCAGTGTGGAGGTTTTTGGCTGCCAGGGCTCTGTTTGGACAGGTGTGGGGGCTCACTTGCCCCATTCCATGTTGCCCCAGACGACTCAGCCTGGCGCAGGGTCGAGGAGAAATTCTGCCACTTATTGATCTCTTTCAAGATCTATTTATGAGTCTCTGGATCATGGCTCGTGAATCAGAACTCTGCTTCAAGATGTGTCTGTGGTAGCTCCGTGAATATAGGAGTCTGCGTGTGTGTGTGTGTGTGTGTGTGTGTGTGTGTGTGTGTGTGTGTGTGTGTGTTTGTGCCACACCCAGCCAGGCTCAGGACTTACTCCTGGGTCTGTGCCCAGGGACCACTCCTGGTGGGGCTCAGGGGGCCATAGGTGGTGCTGGGGACTTAACTGGGGTCAGCCACATGCAAGGCAAGTACCTCAACCCCCTGCACTGTTGCTCTGGCCCATCTCCATGAACTCAGGGACAGCCAGGAAATATAGTACAACACACAGAAATGAGCACCTGGGCCAGACATTGCTTCCTGCCGAGGTGTGGGAAGTGAGTCTGGCTCAGGTGGACCCAGCCGGCATCTCGGGCACCCGGGGCTGCCTGGGGAGCACTGAGGTGCTTTCCCTCCCACACCTTCCCCACCCCCACCTGGTCCTCTCTAGATGCCCTTTGCTGAGAACGGCATCAGCATTAGCTCCTCTGAATGTGTGTGTGTGTGTGTGTGTGTGTGTGTGTGTGTGGTGGGGGGGGGGCGTGGGAGAGGATTCTTTGGCAGCAGGAGAACTGAGGTTTGGACCCAGGCCCCAGGATGACACGCAGCCCTGGCTGGGGGAAGCCTGACCCCGGCTCGCCTGTGGCTTCCTTGCAGGGTGTCCTGGTGGGCATCGTGGGGAAGGTGGGCTGCGGGAAGAGCGCGCTGCTGGCTGCCATCGCGGGGGAGCTCCACAGGTAACACCCTCACCCCGTGCGCCCACCTCAGCAAACTGCCCCCTCCCCACATAGCCCTGTGCTGGGAGTTTCCAGGCAGGTGCTGAGAGCACTGTCAGTGAGCAGAGAAGGCCCTGGGGGTGGTGGGGGTGTTGGTGGCAGCGCATTTCCCTCACCTGTATGAAGCCCTGGTTCCATCCCTGGCACCACACACAGAAGAAAAACATTCAGCTGTTTTGATTCTCTTAGAATGAGGGCCCTGGGCCAGAGAGAGAGGACAGTGAGTTGGGCGCTTGGCTACACATGGCCGACCCATGTTTAATCTCCGTCATCCCATACGGTCCCCTGAGCACCACCAGGAGTGGTCCTTGAGTTCCGAGCCAGGAGTCCGAGCCGGGAGTCAGCCCTGAGCACTGCTGGGTGTGCCTCCCCTTCCAAAGAAAAGAGGATTGTACGGGGAAGAATCAGGAGAGGGGCAGCCGTATGGGGGCGGGGGTGGGGGCGGGGCTTTCTTATTTTACCTTTGGGGCCATTCCCAGCAGTGTTCAGAGGTGTGCTCCAAGCTCGACAGTTGCATCCAGCAACTGGGGCTGATGAGCACAGCAGAGTCTCCTGCATCAAGGATTTGCTCGGTCTGCCCCTCCTCCCGCTGTTTTCTTGCTTTTTGCTTTGGTGGCATAACCAGGGGTGCTTAGCGCTTACCATTGGCTCTGTGCTCCGGGATCACTCCAGCGGTTCTCGGGGAACCATATGGGGGTCGGGGATCAAACCTAGGTTGGTCACTTGCAAGACAAATGCCCTACCCGGGCCCGAGCGATAATACAGCGGGAAGGGTGCTTGCCTTGCACGTGGCCGACCTGGGTTTCATCCCTGGAGTCCCATATGGCCCCACCCACCAGGAGTGATTCCTGAGCACAGAGCCAAGAGTCACCCTTGAGCATCACTGGGTATGGCACAAGCCTGCCCATCCCCCCCAAAAAAAACCAAAAAAACAAGTGCCCTACCTGCTGTCTTGTTGCTCCAGACCCATATCTGCAGGCCTGGGTGCCTCTGTGTGGTGGCCACTTTCTCCATGTGCCAACACCTGAACACATCCTTCCTTCCTTCCCCATGCCCTGAGCCTTTGGCCGCCTTGGCACTCCTCAGCCTCCTCGGCTGCTGGTCCAGGAAACCATGAGTCACAGTGGGGAGCCGGGGTCGGAGGCAGAAGTTGTGTGTGGAGGGTCCTGTTGGGAGCTAGTCCCCCGTGCTGCCCGCCCTGCTCTCTGCAGGCTCCGTGGCCGGGTGGCAGTGCGTGGGCTGTCCAGAGGCTTCGGCCTGGCCACCCAGGAACCCTGGATCCAGTTTGCCACCATCCGGGACAACATTCTGTTTGGGAAGAAATTTGATGAAAGGCTGTACAAGGAAGTGCTCGAGGCTTGTGCCCTCAACGAAGATCTCAGTGTGAGTACCCGGCCCTCACGCCCTCTTCCCCTGCCTGCGCATCAGGGACCCCCTTTCTGTGCAGGATCTGCTACTCTTGGGCTCTCAGACTTCAGTCCTGCCAGAGGGTCCAGCTTCCAGGTACACCCCCTTCTCTGTATGTCCTGAGAGGTGATGGGAAATGGCTGGAGAGTAGCTCGGGGACCCCTGAAGCCTCTGGGGGGGCGGGAGGAACCCTCAGAGGCGTTGCCTTTAGGAAGTCAGCTGCAGGTTTGGTTTGTCTTGGATTTTGGGCCGTACCCGAATGTGCTCAGGACTTACTCCTGGCTGGACTGGGGGACCCTAGGGGTGGTGGGGATCAAACCCCGCGTGCAAGGCCAATGCCTTACCCGCTGTACTGTCGCTCCAGCCGCTGTCTCAAGATTTTGAGTCAATAGGTCCTCCATCGCCTCTCTATAACCTCAGCCCCAGGCTGGGTGTGTGGAGTTACCCTGTGACCCCTGCCCCACCTGTTCATTCCCTCTGTCCAGAAGACCCAGTTTGTGGGCTCCCAGATTCCTCCTTGGCTTTCCCACCTAACCCCCAAGGTCCACGCAGGCCCGTCTTTCCCCACTGTCCTGTCCAAGCAAGCACAGAATCTGCAGGAAGCTCCCTTTGGCCTGCCTAATGCTGCGTGAGTTTCTGTAGCAGACATTTCCCCGAGTCTTCTGGGAGGCCGGGGGCACTGCTGGGTGCTATGAAGAGATGGACAAGTCTTCCCCAAGGGGAGGCACCAGGGTGGCCCCCTGTGTGATGGTGACCCTAAGCTACGGAGCTCACTCAGAGGTCACAGGAAGGACCAGGGCTGCAGCCTTACAAGAACTTGGCTGTCAGGTTTTACCATCATCGCCTTTTTAAAAGAGGCAAAGGGACCAGAGTGATAGCACAGCAGGGAGGGCGTTTGCCTTGCACACGGCCGACCTGGGTTCAATCCCCGGCATCCCATATGGTCCCCCAAGCACTGCCAGGAACAATTCCTGAGTGCAGAGCCAGGAATAACCCCTGAGCATCGCTGGGTGTGACCCAAAAGCAAAAAATAAATAAATAAAATAAAATAAAAGAGGCACAGAAGGGGCCGGAGCGAAAGCAAGGTGGCAGGGAGGGCGCCTGCCTCACACGCAGCCGATCTGGTTTGAAATCCGGCATCATATATGATCCCCTGAGCCCCACCAGGAGTGAACCTTGAGCACAGGGCCAGGAGTGAGCCCCAAGTACCACTACATGTGCCCCCCACCCCCCGCCCTCAGAAAAAAACATGGAAGTGAGCTTGGGTGACTACAACTGGGCCCCACTAGCTGGGTCAGTGGCCAAGGCACTCGCCATACTCCATCTCTGGTGACACACGCGCCAGACTGGACCCTGCCAGCCCTACTGAGTGTGGTCAGTCCCCAGTTCCGCCATAGTCCCTATAGCCCACCAGGAGTGACCCCTGAGTGCAGAGCCAGGAGTAAGCCCTGAACACCACCAGGTCTGCTGACCCCCATGGGGTTGGAGTGATGATACAGTGGTCACGGTGCTTGCCTTGAAGCCATCTGACCCAGGTTCGATCCCCAGCATCCCAGAGGGTTCCCTGAACACTGCCAGGAGTGATCCCTGAGTACAGAGCCGGGAGGAACCCCTGAGCACCACCACGTGTAGCCCTAGGTGACCCTCTCTACGAGCACCACAGCTGAAGATGTGTGAGCCCTGCAGCCAGGAGTGAGACCCCTTGGTGGGCCCCACGGCCAGGGGAGTGCGACCCCCAGCCACTAACCAGGCCAGCGGTGTGAGCACTGTCACTGAGTGTACCCAGCCCACCGCTGCATGCATACTCAGCCCCCAGCCTTCTCGTCGGACCAACAACAGCCACAGAGGGAAGCGGGGCGCATCTGTGCTTCTGATCTGTGTTCTGCCCCAGCCATGCCCTTGGCTCGCCGGAGACTGAACTGGAGTCTCCTCTGTGGAAAGGAAATCCGCCTCACTTCCCTAGAATGACGCCCGTCCAGGGCTAAGCACTTAGCTCGTGTCCAGGAAGGGCTATTGCTGCTAGAATTAGGATCTGTCCCCCTCAATCACTCACCCCCAATTCCAGCCCAGCCGCAAGTCTCCTGGCTTCTTCTCTTGGGGAGGGGTCCACACCTGGCAGGGTTCAGGAATTACCCCTGGCAGGGCTCGGGGGACCGTGTCGGATGCCGGGGATCTGACCCCGGTCAGCTGCATGCCAGCTACGGCCTTGTCCTCTGGCCGCTCTCCAGCCCTTCGTCTCTCAGCTCCTCCTCGGGGAAAGGTGAGGCAGGCGGTCCGGCCGAGCCCACTACCCAGAACTGCGGGCCTTTCCTTTCAGATCCTGCCTGCTGGGGACCAGACGGAGGTGGGGGAGAAGGGGGTGACCCTCAGCGGGGGACAGCGGGCCCGGATCGCCCTTGCTCGCGCTGCGTACCAGGTGAGTCAAAGGCGGAGCGCCTGAAGCTCAGTTGAGCAGGGCAAGTGGGGATTTTTTACATCGTTATTCTGATTGTCAGGGGGGCCTGGGGGGCACACCAAGGGGAGTCTGGAGGCTCTGCCTGGCTCTGCCCAGGGACCATTTGCAATGCCGGCCAGCAAGCCTGGGTAAGGTTCTACACGGCCAGCGCCGCAGCCCCTGAGCCCAATCTCTGTTCCTCGGCATCTGTTTGTTGTTTGGGGCCACCCTTGGGGGCTGGGACTGTTTTGATCACTTAATCACTTAATCACTTAACTTCCCGTTAGTCGTCGATTTGCTCGAGCGGGCGCCAGTAACGTCTCCATTTGTCCCTGTCGCGTGCTAGTGTAGCCCAATGGCATCTCTTCGTTCTGGGAACATGGAGGGCCTCAAACCGATCGTTCAAAGGGTGATTAGAGGCCACCCCAAAAGCCTCTATACCTCTCGGAAAGACTGGCAAGCTACCGAGAGTATTCCGCCCGCACGAAAGAGCCTGGCAAGCTATCCGCTGTGTATTCGATATGCCAAAACCAGTAACTACAACTGGTCTCATTCACCTGACTGTTTTGATCAGCCTCACATATATCACGATCACGATCACGACCATCCTGTTGTTCGTCGATTGCCTCGAGCAGGCCCCAGTAACGTCTCCTTCGTCCAAGCCCTGAGATTTTTAAAAAGTGCCATATTCAAGGCTCTTTCAGGGTTGGGAGAATGAGACCCATCATTGTTACTGGTATTTGGCATATTGGGTACACCATGGGGAGTTTGCCAGACTCTGCCGTGTGGGCAGGTGACATTCAGTAGCCTGCCGGATTTGTCCAAAGTAAGAATGAGATAAGATGTCGCACGGCTGCAAATGCGGCCGCGCACTTCCGGGAGCTGGGTTTTATAGTCTCTGGATCTTGGCCGTTGATTGGATTACACGTGTAATCCCTCACATATATATATATATTTTTTTTTAATGTAGGAGTACTGCTATTTATTTAGCCACTGATTAGCTGATTGAATTGGGCATGAACTCCACCTTACTTTTTTTTTTCATAATTTTATTTCTTTTTTCTTCTTATATTTATTTATTGAATCACTGTGGGAAAAGTTACTAAGCTTTCAGATTTTTCTCGGTCATACAGTAATCAAACACCTCTCCCTTCACCAGTACTCATTTTTCACCACCAAGAACCCCAGTATACCCCCCCTCCCACCCCTCCCAATACCTGAGCCTCACAGATTTTTCCCTCTCCTTCCATGCTCCCTCCATTGGGTCATTGCTCTCTCTACCTCCCTTTTGCAGACTTAAGGCAGAATTAAAGAATTACGTGGGAGGCCAGAGTGATGGCACAGTGGGAAGGGTGTTGGCTTTGACCCCGGTTCGAGCCCTGGCACCTCATTGGTCCTTTGTGCACCGCCAAGAGTGAGACCTGCGTAAGCACAGCCCAGTGTGGCACCAAACCCAAAAATAAAAAGGGAAAAGAAAAGAACCTTTAAGGGGCTGAGAAATAGTACAGGGATAAAACACTTGCCTTCCATGTGGCATTAATCCCTGGTAACATATACAGTTCCGGTACCCTGCCAGGAGTGGCCTCTGAGCACAGAACCAGGAGTAAGCCCTGAGCACTGTCAGGTGTGTCCCCCAAACCAAAATAAACAGAAAAAAAGCCAGCACCCCAACCCACTATGGGGTGACCTGCAGGATGGGGCTCTGCAGTGGAGCCGTCGCTTCCATGGACAGGACCCTGGGTTCAGTTCCCTTGGGGGCCGGGCAGGGTGCTTGTCTTGCTCGCGGCCAACCCTGTTTCAATTCTGTCTCCATATTTGGTCCCCCAAGCACCACTGGGAATAATCCCTGAGAGCCGCCACGTGTGTCCCTAAAACCAAACGATGACCACAACAGCAGCAAAAAAAAAAGAAAAAGTACACTGAATCCAATATTTTTCTAAAAGGCAATACGTGAACCGGAGTGATAACACAGCGGTTAGGGTCTTTGCTTTGCACACTGCCCACCTGGGGTCAACCCCCAGCACACCATATGGTCCCCCCAAGTCCACCAGGAGTGGTTCCTGAGCACAGAGCCAGGAGTCAGCCCTGAGCACCGCATGGCTCCAGAAGAAAATAAGCAACATCATGTGGCGGGAGGCATGGGGACCCAGAGAACCTCATGCGGCCCAAGGCTCTGGCTTGCTGGCGGGGGCTGCCCACCCTCCAGTCTCCCCATTTCCTCTAAGGCCAGCATGGGGTGGGCACTCCTCCCCCATCCTCCCTGAGGAGCTCTCGTCCCAGGTCGCATATGCGCATGGCCCTTCTTTTTTTTTTTTTTTTTTTTTTTTGCTTTTTGGATCACACCTGGTGATGCACAGGGGTTATTCCTGGCTCATGCACTCAGGAATTACCCCTGGCGGTGCTCAGGGGACCATATGGGATGCTGGGAATCGAACTCGGGTTGGCTGCGTGCAAGGCAAACGCCCTACCCGCTGTGCTATTGCTCCAGCCCCCACACGGCCCTTCTCACCCTAGGAGAAGGAGTTGTACCTGCTCGATGACCCCCTGGCTGCAGTGGACGCCGACGTGGCCCGCCACCTGCTGCACCGTTGTATCCTGGGTCTGCTGGGGGACACCACGCGGCTACTCTGCACCCACCGCACCGAGTACCTGGACAAGGCCGACCTGGTGCTGCTGCTGGACGCTGGACGCCTCGTCCGGGCTGGTAACGCCACCCCAGCAGGAGCCCAGCCAGGGGACAGTGGGAGATAGATCTGCCGGCCGCTCTCCTGTGACCAGCCCAGGCCTCTGGGGGTGAAGTGGACAGCGGGAGGGACGGGGCTTTGCTGGGAAAGCCCAGTGGGTCGGGTGTCTCGGGCACTGGAGGCCAGGGTCTGTGAGAGCAGGCTGATGTTCTCAGGAGAGCGAGCAGTCAGGAGGTCAGAAACAGTGACGGGAGGGGCCGGGGCCACAGCACAGCAGGAAGGACGTGGCCTTGCACGCGGCCAGCCCGGGTTCAATCCCCAGCATCCCCTTTGGTCCCCCCAAGAACAGCTAGGAGTGATTCCTGGGTGCAGAGCCAGGAGTAAGCCCTGAGCATCATGGGGTGTGGCCCCCAAACCAAACCAAACCCCCAAAAAAGCAGCAGCAGTAACCAGAACAGAGACCGCTGCGGGGCGGAGAAGGGAAGGTTCTCCCAGGAGTGCAGAGAGAGTGGGCTGGGGTGTGTTCCCAACAGCCTCCCCTCCCTTCCCAGGGCCACCCTCGGAGATCCTGCCTCTGGTTCAAGCAGCGCCTAGAGCCTGTGCTGAGCACGGACCGGAGTCGGGCCCAGGTATGTCCGCGGGGCAGGGAAGGGCTTGCTCTCTGCTTGCTCCCGGCTCTGTGCTCAGGGGAGGGCACCGAGCCAAGGGCCGCGTGCGCATGACAAGCACTCAACCCTTGTATTATCTCCCTGACCCTAAAATTTTGGGGGGAAGAGGGTGCGTTTGGCCCATACCTCGCATCACCCAAGGCTTACTCCTGGCTCTGCGCTCAGGGGTCACCCCTGTCAGTGCTCTGGGGACCCTATTTTGTGTCCAGGATTCAAACCTGGGTTGGCCACCTGCAAGGCAAGTGCCTCAACCCTGGAACTATCTCTCTGGCCCCCAAATGAATTACTTTGTGGGGGGCAGGAGGTGCTTAGGCCACGCTCCACAGTGCTCAGGCTCCTCCTGGCTCCGTGGCTACGGCGGTGCTGGGGATGGGGCCGGAGCACCTGCCCCCGAGCCTCCGAGCACCTCCCTGGCCCCAACACTGCGGTGCTGAGCTGCTCCCTGTCCCAGGCACGGCCCCGTCGTCGGTGCAGAGCCCAGAGGAGGCGAAGAAGGGGCTGGAGCTGGAAGAGAGCACGTCGGGCGGCCTGCTGCAGCGGGAGGGCAAGCAGGAGGGGGCCGTGGCCTTCCGCGTGTACCGCGCCTACTGGAGGGCCGTGGGCCAGGCCTTGGCCCTGGCCATCCTCTTCTCCCTGCTTCTCATGCAAGGTAGGAGCCCTGGGGCCACCGACCATCACATCTGTCCCCTGGCCCCAAGGTGGGTCCCTCCCTAGTTGGGACAAGGGCCAGGTGGACCCCCACGCCCCACCCATCTCAGGGAGCCCCAGGCCCAGAGGGATATGTTCTGTTTTGTTTGGGGGCCACACCCGGCGATGCTCAGGGGTGACTCCTGGCCTCGCTGGGGGACCCTATGAGGGGAGCAGGGGATCGGACCCAGGTGGGCCTGTCCAAGGCCAGCGCTGTAGTATCTCTCTGGCCAAGGGGGGGGGGCGCTGCACACACACCTTCCGGTCCTGCCACCTGCAAAGGCAGGCTCCCATTCTGCACATTTCAGAATCTGCTCTGCCCGAAGAGTGACAGCGGGGGCAGAGGACACTCCTGGGAGTGCCCTGGGGGCAGGGGCCACGCAGAGGGGCTGTTAGAAGCCCAGGTCAGGGGGGAAGAGGGAGCGGGGAGGGGAGCTGATGATCGCAGCTGCCTCCTGGCGCCCTGCAGCCACACGCAATGCGGCCGACTGGTGGCTGTCCTATTGGATCTCGCAGCTGAAGGCCAGCGGGAACCACTCCCTGAAGGCAGCCGCCCCCGACCCCGTCTCTGCCCGCCTGCTCCTCTTCTCCCCCGGAAGCCTCTAGTGAGTGGCTGGTCGGGCCCAGGGCTTCGGCGGGGGTCCTGTGGCTCCCAGAGGGTGGGAAGGAGCCCTGAGAGGCCCTGCTCTCGGTTACCCACAGCCCCCTCCCCACCACCCAGCACCTCCACCTTCCTGCTGCCCGCAGCGGCCCCCAACGGCTCCAGCCCGGACGTCCGCTTCTACCTCACAGTCTATGCCGCGATCGCGGGCGCCAACTCGCTGTGCACACTGCTGCGGGCCGTGCTCTTTGCGGCGGGCACGCTCAGGGCCACGGGCGTGCTGCACCGCCGCCTGCTTCGGCGTGTCCTCCAGGTGAGTGTCTGCCTGTCCCTGTCCCACGGGCCCTCCAGGTGAGTGTCCGCCTGTCCAGGTCTCCAGTGGGTGGAGGGCCTTAGGAGCCAGGAGCTCCTCACGGTGGTGGTCGCAGGGCAGACCCAGCCCTGGAGGGCTAGCTTGGCGGGGCACGCATCCCAGAATCAACCTGGAGCGGTGGTGGCCGGTGAGGGCCTTTCTCTCAGGCTAAAGCAAGCTCCCTTTCTTTTTTTTTGCTTTTTTTTTGGGGGGGAGTCACACCAAGCAGTGCTCAGAGGTTCCTCCTGGCTCTGCACTCAGGAATCACTCCTGGCGATGCTTGGGGGACCCTATGGGATGCCGGGGATCGAACCCAGGTCGGCCGCGTGCAAGGCAAACACCCTAACTGCTGTACTATCGCTCCAGCCCCACAAGCTCCCTTCCTTTTCCCTTTTTTTCATCTTTGGTTTGGGGGGGGCCACATGTGGCCGTGCTCAGGGTTCTCTGCTGGCGGTGCTCAGAGGAGCAGATGGCATGCCTGGGATGGAACCGGGTCAGCCGCGTGCCAGGCCAGCACCCTCCCCGCTGTCCTATCTCTGTGGCCCGAGCTTCCTTTCTGTCCTGTCTGTATTGTGGGCCACAGAACTTGCGGGTATGGGTCAAAAAACAAACAGGGCTGGCAAGAGAATGGGTAGGGAGTTCGCCTTGCACATGCCAACCTGTTTTTGGTCCCCGGCACCTCATATGCTGCTCAGCATACTTCCGGGAGTGATCTGATCACAGAGCCAGAGCTGGGAGTAAGGCCTGAGCACCACTGGAGGGAGCCCCCAAACCAACAGCCCCAAACCCAAGAGCCCCGGAATGGACCATTTGCAGAGTGGACGGTGGGGCGAGGGAAGGGAGTTTCTGGGACACCCAGGCCCAGCCCCTGCATGCTTGGCTGTGGAAGGGACTGACTTTTTTTTTTTGGCTTTTTGGGTCACACCTAGCGATGCTCAGGGGTTCCTCCTGGTTCTGCACTCAGGAATCACCCCTGGCGATGCTCAGGGGACCCTATGGGATGCTGGGAATCGAACCCGGGTCGGCCGCGTGCAAGGCAAATGCCCTACTCGCTGTGCTATTGCTCCAGCCCCTGGAAGGGACTGACTGTGCCCACTGCCCACAGCCTCTGGCTGGCCCCGGGAGTTAAATGCATCTCGCCATCTCCTGAAGCCCTGGTCCCTGTGACCGAGAGCTGCCGCCCGTCCCGTGCAGTCTGGAATGTTCTCTGTCCCGCCTCCGCTGGGCCCTCCGTTCTCCCCCACTTACTCCGGGACGCGTCACGTCTTCCCTCTTCTCAAGGGTGGCCCTTGCTCCCTCCCCATCGCCCTGTGGTGGGGGGTGGGGGCTCCCGGCCCGCTGAACCCTGGCCCCACCACTGCCCCCCACCCAGGCGCCGGTGACCTTCTTCGAAGCCACCCCGACGGGCCGCGTCCTCAACCGCTTCTCCTCCGACGTGGCCTGCACGGACGACAGCCTGCCCTTCCTGCTCAACATCCTCCTGGCCAACGCCGCGGGCCTGCTGGGCCTCCTGGCCGTGCTGGGCTACGGCCTGCCCTGGCTCCTGCTGCTGCTGCCCCCGCTCGGCGCCCTCTACTACCGCGTGCAGCGCCACTTCCGCGCGTCCTCCCGCGAGCTGCGGCGCCTCTGCAGCCTCACCCTCTCGCCCCTCTACACGCACCTGGCTGACACCCTGGCCGGCCTCCCCGTGCTCCGGGCGGCCGGCACCAGCGACAGGTGGGCTGGGTCAGGGCCCGAGGGGAGAGGAGGGCAGAGGCAGGGAGGGCAGGGAGGGGCAGGGGAAGCGGTCAGGAGAAGGGGCCTCTGGGGGCCCGGAGAGGTGGTGCAGGGGCCCGAGCACTGCAGGGGGAGATTCCTGAGTGCAAGTGGGAGGAAGTGTTGAGCACCGTTGGTTGGGCCTGGTCCAAACCCCCACCCCCCCAAAAAAGGGGGAGGAAAGGAAAAGGGATCCTTGGGGGCCAGAGAGATGATCCAGTGGGTAGGACACTTGGCGGGTCGGCATGCAGCTGCCTGGGTTATGGCATCCCATATGGTCCCCCGAGCAGTGCTGGGAGTGATTCCTAAGGAAGAGCCAGGAGGAGGCTCTGAGCACCCAAAGAGAAGAGAGAAAGAGAATGAGCTTCCAGAAGCAGAGCGGGAACCCCATCATGCTGGCCCCTCCCCTGCCCCATGGGAGGGAGGGGGCCAGGGGTGTGTGTGTGTGTGTGTGTGTGTGTGAGCTCAAGGTGGAGGTGTGGGTAGGGGTTGGGTGCGGGGCCTCCATGCCCTCTGACTCCCCCAGGTTTGAGGACGAGAACCAGCGACTCCTGGAGCTGAACCAGAGGTGCCAGTTTGCGTCCAGTGCCGCCCAGCAGTGGCTGGACATCCGGCTGCAGCTGATGGGGGCCGCGGTGGTGAGCGCCATCGCCGCCATCGCTCTAATCCAGCACCAGCAGGGCCTCGCCGACCCAGGTGCCTCCACCGGGTGTTTGGGGGGGACCTCGTGGCAGTAGCCGGCCCAGCTCGTGCAGGCCCCAGGACTAGGTGCAGTCGGGGCTCAAGCCCCCAGAGTGCATGTGAGCTGTCCGAGCCCCCTCCCAGCCCTCCCCTCACCTGTGTTCTAGTGGTTGTCGGGGGCCGAGTACCAGCTCTGCAGTGGGGGCTTGGCTCCTGGCAGTGCGGGGGTGACGCGGGTCCTCCCGCAGGGGAAGCACACGCAGCCCTCTGAGCCCTCACCGGTTCCCTCAGAGGCACCTTATTCTCCCTTCACCCCTTGTGCCATTGGCTCCTCCAACTCTGACGTGGCCCCCCAGCACCCCGGGGCCCCTGTGAGGGGTCGTTCGAACCATCATCACCCCCATTTTAGAGTCAGGGAGTCTCAGATGGGACTCGCCCAGGGGCCGGAGCAGTAGAACAGCAGGGAGGGCGCTTGCCCTGCATGTGGCCAAGCCCGGTGCCATCCCCTGGGGTCCCCTGAGCCCCGGCTGGAGTGATTCCCGAGTGCAGAGCCAGGAGTAGCCCGAGGGAACGGCCGGACCCGCTCCGGGCCCTGGGACTAGAACCAGAACTAGAAGGAGGCTTCTGTTCGTTAGTTGTGGCCCCCCCCGGGCGCCCCTCAGAGCCGCTCCCTGAGTCCAGGGTGGGGTTGTGCCCCCTCCCCCGTGTCTAAGCGCTGGCGCCTCTGCCCCAGGACTGGTGGGCCTGTCGCTGTCCTACGCCCTGTCGCTGACCGGTCTTCTCTCGGGCCTGGTGAGCAGCTTCACCAAGACGGAGGCCATGCTGGTGAGCGTGGAGCGGCTGGAGGAATATTCCTGCGGGCTGCCCCAGGAGCCCCGGGGCTGGGCGCTGCAGGTAGGCCTCGGCCCGCCCCCCCCCCCCTGCAGACTCCGTCCCCCCCCCCCCCCACACACACACACACAGCTCCAGCCCCCTCAGACGCCACTGCAGCCTCCAGCCTTCCTCTGGGTGCCCCTGGTCCCCAGGCCCCCATGCTCTACCCCCCTCCTCCCCAGGCTCCCCTCATTCCCCCCCCACCCCCCACTTCACCTGGTCCCTGCCTCTCTCTCTCCCTCCTGCTCCCCGCCCAGCTGGGCCCTGGCTGGCTGACCCGGGGCAGCGTGGAGTTCCAGGCCGTGGTGCTGGTGTACCGGCCGGGGCTGCCCAACGCCCTGGACGGCGTCACCTTCTCCGTGCGGCCCGGGGAGAAGCTGGGCATCGTGGGCCGCACAGGCTCCGGCAAGTCCTCCCTGTTCCTGGTGCTCTTCCGGCTGCTGGAGCCCAGCGCGGGCCGCGTGCTGCTGGACGGCGTGGACAGCGGGCAGCTGGAGCTGGCCGAGCTCAGGTCTGGGGGGCGCACCGAGGAAGGCCGTCTGGCGTGGGGGCGGGTGGGGTGGCTCTTGGCGCCCAGGCCAGGGCTGCGACCCTCCTGCCTCGCCTCCCATCCTCCTTCCTCGTGCTTCCGGCACACGCCCTCTGCTGTCCACCAGCGCTGTCCAACCTGGGCTTTTCCCTTTCTCTGTTGAGGGGTAGGGGCGCCAGCTGTGCTCGGGGCTCACTCCCAGAGCAAGGCTCAGGGACCCCATGGGGTGCCGGGGATCGGACCCAGGTCAGCCCCATGCAAGGCAAGTGTCCTCCCCGCTGTGCTGCTGCTCCAGCCCCCTGCTTGTCCAGCCTCTGCACACTGGCTGTCCACCACCAGTCCACGGGTCGTCACTTGAAAATCGCTAGGGCTAGGAAGATCACTCAGTGGGCCTTGATCAGACCTGGGGCAGCTGTGCACAGGGCAAGGGCCTTCCTCACCGTCCACTCTCTGAGCCATCACACGCACGCAGCTCACCCCCCCCACCCCCCACCCCCGTCCTGGATGGTTCTGGTGCTCCCCGAAGGTGGTATCACCTACCGGAAGTGCTGGGCGAGGCCCTGGGTTCCTTGGCCCCTCACACACACCACCCGCCTAGCGCGACATACCGGGCTGGCCCACGGTCGCCAAGGGGTACTGTGGACAGAGGGGACCCACTCTCTGTGCCCAGGCTGATCCCTGTGCTGTCCCATCCCCGTTCCCCAGGTCCCAGCTGGCCATCATCCCCCAGGAGCCCTTCTTGTTCAGCGGGACTGTTCGGGAGAACCTGGACCCCCAAGGCCTGCATGAGGACGGGGCGCTGTGGCAGGCCCTGGAGCAATGCCACCTGGGGGAGGCGATCACGGCCGCAGGTGGGTGCCGGCTCACCCTGCAGAGTGGCCCCCCGGGCAGGCCCTGGGAGGTGACAGTGCTGTGCCCCACAGGTGGTCTGGACGGCGAGCTGGGTGAGGGCGGCCGGAGCCTGTCCCTGGGGCAGAGGCAGCTGCTGTGTCTGGCCAGGGCTCTGCTCACAGACGCCAAGGTAAGGAGAGAGGAGGTGGCCTTGGGGGGTGTGGGCACAGGAGGAAGCTGGGGGTCTGAGCACGGAGGGCCCGGGCTTAATTCCAGTACCCCCCGCCTCGGGCTTCAGCATCAAGGGGGCCAGTGGGTCAGAAACACAAAAAAGAAAGGCCCGAGTTAGTGTCTCTCTCAGGGCAAGAGCTGGGTCGGGCCGGGGGTGGGGCCGGAGCTCGGACGAGGGGCCCAAGGCGCAGCCCTTTCTGTGCACCTGCCCACGCCCCAGATCCTGTGCATCGATGAGGCCACGGCCAGCGTGGACCAGAAGACTGACCAGCTGCTCCAGGAGACCATCTGCAGGCGCTTTGCCAACAAGACGGTGCTCACCATCGCCCACAGGTGCGCAGAGCCCCGGGGAGACCCAGCGCCCCCACCCGCAGAGGGAACGCAGCCTCCCACCCACGGGCCCCCTCCCTCTCTCCCGCAGGCTCAACACCATCCTGAACTCGGACCGCGTGCTGGTGCTGCAGGGCGGGAGGGTGGCCGAGCTGGACTCGCCCGCGGCCCTGCGCAGCCGGCCCCACTCCCTGTTCCAGCAGCTGCTGCAGGGCGCCTCATCCTCTTCGTCCTCCCTCTGAGGCTGCGGCCCCATTTGCCCGCTGCCCCTCACCAGGGGCTGGGCGCTGCCTCATCGGTCACCTCCTCCTGGCTGGGCACACGGCCCAAGAGCGACATGCACAGGTCTGGGGTCGAGCCTGTTTGATACCTCACGACCCTCCGAGCACTGCCAGCACTGCCCGGGGTGAGGGGGGGCAGCACGTCCAGGGAGCTGCCCCTAAGACCTTCTCCTCCTGGATTCTACCTCTCCCTCACTTCCCCGAGGGGAAAGGGGGCCTAGATTCCGCTTCAAGGTTGACTTTTGGTGTCAGAAATGGAACCGGGGGCGGGGGGGCGGGCCAGAGCGATAGCAGAGCGGGGAGGGCGCTTGCCTTGCATGCAGCCGACCTGGGTTCCATCCCCGGCATCCCGTATGGTCCTCTGAGCCCCGCCAGGACCAATTCCTGAGTCCAGAGCCAGGAGTAAGCCCTGAGCATTGCTGGGTGTGGTCCAACAGCCAAAACCCAAAACAGCAATGGGCCTGGGAGCCTCCTCAGTGCAGGGTGTGCGCTCCCACGAGCTGTGCCCAGGAAACCCCTGGCTTCTTCCTCTGCAGGAACTTGTCGTTCCAAGAGGAGCAGTCGCCTGGAGGCTTCCCAGCCCCTCTGCTCAGGCCCTCCTGCCTCCAGGATTCCTGCGGGGGTTTCTGGTACAGGAACACCCCCGGGCTCTCCTGGGTTTTTATTTGATAAAATTCCCGTCATACATTTTATGTGTTAAAAAAATAATCTTTCTGGTGCCCGGTTGTGGGGCCGGGGGCGGGGGAGGGGGTGTTGGGGAACCCACACGTGCACCCCCCACGGGGGGCGGTGAGGATGGGTCACTGCAGTCTGAGCTGGCGGCGGGCACTCCGTCACAGCGCGGTGCTCTTGCCAGACTCGGGGGGCAGGTCAGGGGCCAGGGGGGCGTCCGGCGGCAGCATGTTCAGCTGGCACTCCTGGTCCTGGCATGCTGGGGCATAGAGTGGGGCCGGGGAGCAGCAGGGTCCAGGGGGGCAGGCCCCCCGGCGCCAGGCCCTCAAGGTCAGCAGCATGGTGGACAGGACCAGCACGGCGGTGAGCGCCCCGAACACCACCACGGCCAGCAGGCTGGACTCGCCCAGCCCGGCCTCCTGTGTCCGCACCACCTCCTTCACCGAGATGCGCAGCAGGCCGGCGCCCACACTGTGCGGGACAGGCCCCGTGGGTGCCCGCGGCAGCCCCACCGTGCTGGCGGGCCCCGGGGCGGGCAGCACCAGCTCGCAGGCCTTGCCGCCGTAGCCTCTGGGGCAGAGACAGTGGAAGTCGTGCACGAGGTCCCGGCAGCGGGCGCCCCGCTGGCACGGGTGACTGGCACAGTCATCCAGGTTGATGGTGCAGAAGCGGCCGGCGAAGCCCGCGGGGCAGAGGCAGGAGAAGCGGTTCACCCCGTCCACGCAGGTGGCGCCGTCCGCACAAGGCCGCATCCGGCAGTCGTCCACGTCCACCTCGCAGCGGGCACCCGCGAAGCCGGCCAGGCAGCGGCAGGTGAAGTTGAGGGCGAAGCCCTGGTCGTCCTGGCACTGCCCACCGTTCCGGCATGGGGCACTGGGGAGGGACACGGGGAGAAGGCGCTGACCCCGATGACCGCCTGTGTCCTGATCACAGCCATCACCCCCCAGCAGGTCCCCTGAACCATGAGGAGGCACCACGTGTGACCTCTGACTCTCGGCCACCGCACGGCCGCCTCCTCCAGGCCCTTTCTCGGCAGGAGCCACCCATGGCATGGTTGGCCCAGTCACGCCAGCACAGGTGGCACCAAAGGGCTGGGACAAGGCTAGCCACACCAAGCCCCCTTGTGGGCCCCCTGTACATTTTTTTCTTTTTTTTTTTTTCTTTTTGGGTCACACCTGGCGATGCACAGGGGTTCCTCCTGGCTCTGCACTCAGGAGTTACTCCTGGCGGTGCTCAGGGGACCATATGGGATGCTGGGAATTGAACCCGGGTCGGCCTCGTGCAAGGCAAACGCCCTACCCGCTGTGCTATCGCTCCAGCCCCACCTCCCCCACCCCTGTACATTTTTTCAGTGTTGGCTTTGGGAAGTGATTGGTGGCTATACCCAGCCCAGTGTCCAGGGGACCGTGCAACTGGAGCCCGGGCCCCCTATGCAGAGCCCGTGCTCCACTGTCCTGAACCGCCTGCCCTCTCCCACGCTACACGTTTCTGTTGTTGCAGAAATGTTCAGCGAGTACCGAGGAAGCGGAGCAGCCCTGAGCCGGTGTCGGTCTGGGCGGGCTGGGACTGTGGCCTCCAGTGCCTCTCCCTGGGACTTTGGTTTTGTTTTTCTGTTTGTTTTTGGGTCACATCCAGCGATGCTCGGGGGTTACGCCTGGCCTTACTCTCTAGAATCAGTCCTGGAGGGCTTGGGGGACCACATGGCATGCTAGGGATGGAAACCAGTACGCAAGGCAAACTGCTCTACCCTGGGGGCTCCTTTGTTGTTGTTGTTGTTGTTTCCTTTTTGGGTCACACCTCATTATGCCCAGGGGTTACTCCTGGCAATGCTAGGGGGACCATATGGGGCGCAGGGGATCAAACCCGGTTGTCCACGTGCAAGGCAAACACCCTCCCTGCTCAGGGATTATTCCTGGCTCTGTGCTCAGGGGACCAAATGGGGTGTTGGGAATTGAACCCGGGTCCGCCTCATGCAGGGCAAACACCCTCCCCACTGTCCTATCTTTCCAGCCCTCACTAGGCTTCTGACATGAATCATCACTCCCACCCCCTCTGGGGTCCTGCCCCCCCCAGCACGTCTCATCCAACCTCGGTCCCCCCCCCCCCCCGAGGGTAACCCCCACTCACCCTGCCCGCTCGCAGGGCCCAGCCTTGCGCTCGCAGTCGCGCCCGTGGAAGCCGGCCGGGCACACACAGTGGTACTCGCCGCCCCCATCGTATACGCACTGGCCGCCGTTCCGGCAGGGGGACTGGGAGGTGCAGACGTGCTCATCTGCAGGAGACCGGGAAGACTCTGCGGTGGCCCCTCGGACGGGGGACCCCTCCTCCCCCTGCCCAGCCAGACCCCGCCAAGGCTCGGGGGGGCTCTCCTGCTACAGACCCACCACAGGTTGGTCTGGTGTCTTGGGGGAAAACCAGACGGGCAGGATCCCGCCCAGCCCTGTGTGGCTGAGCGGCTTTGGCCCACGGTGCCTACTCTGGGGGCCTCTTTCCAACTTGTGAACTAAGCACAATTTCTTTTCTTTTTGCATGGAAGGGTTAACTCCTGGGTCTGCACTCAGGAATCTCTCCTGGTGGTGCTCAGGGGACCATATGGGATGCCAGGGTTTGGACCCAGGTCGGCCACATGCAAAGCAGGCGCCTTCCCCACTGTACCGTCCGGCCCCAAGAAGCACAGTTTCTTCCTTTTTTTTTTTTCCTGCTTTTTGGGTCACGCCCAGCGATGCTCAGGAGTTACTCCTGGCTCTGCATTCAGGAATTATTCCTGGCGGTGCTCAGGGGACCCTATGGGATGCCGGGGTTCGAGCCTGTGTCAGCCGCATGCAAGGCCAACGCCCCACCCGCTGTGCTATGGCTCCGGCCTGAAGCAGTTTCTAGCAGCCACTTTCCCCAGCTCCGGGGGCCACAATGAGGGGCAATTAGGACCACGCCTGGGAGTCACGTCTCGCGTGATCAGACGCCACACATTGAAGGGTTGGAGCAAGACAGCACGGGCGGCACTCGGTAACGGGACGGATGGTCTCCCAGCACACGGGACCCCCAGCCCAGCAGCCCCCCCTCCCCAGCCCTACCTTTGTCGCAGAACTTGCCCGCCCAGCCACTGTGGCAGATGCATTGCCAGGGCTGGTGGCAGGTGCCGTGCTGGCAGCCGGGCATCTTCACACAGCGCTCGCAGTGCGGTCCCTCCCAGCCTGGGTCACACCTGGCGGGAGGAGCCCAGGGTTAGGGCTGTGGGTGGTGGGGGGAAGCGGGGAGGGGGCGGGCCAGGGCTTGGAGGAGCAAGGAGGCCAGCAGGGGACAGTGCCCAAGCCAAAGCAGCTCAGCACAGGGCGGTTCGAGGGGCCTCCCAAGGAGTCAGCCAGACCCCAGGCTCTGCACTTCATATTTTCCTGTTTATTTCTGGCCACGCTCAGTGGTGCTCGGGGCTCGCTCCTGGCAGTGCTGGGGAACCCTACGCAGTGCCAGGGCTTGAACCGCCGTTGAGGCCCCACGCAAGGCCAGGACTTTGACTTCCGTGGCCTCTCCCTGGCCCTGCACTTCCCACTCCCAAGCCTCTGTGTCTCGTCTGTGAATTGGGAGTGTCCCAGCGGGTGCGGGGGGGGGGGGAATGAGGTCATGACCCTGAAGTCATCGGGGATGGGGACAGTGCCAAGGGCAGCCTTGGGCGGGGAGGGATGCGAGGGTCAGTCCCAGCACACCCCACTCCCACCCCATCTCCACACAGGGGTGCTTGGAGAAAGAAACTAAATGCTATAAATGGGGGCAGAGAGGACCCAGTCTGACCCCCGACACTGCATGCCCCCCACTGTGGGCTGCTGGCTCCAGATCACCGCTGGGTGTGCCCTGCTGATCCCCCCAGGACCTCCAGGCCGAGCAGCAGAGTGGCTAACACCCCTTAGCCATCCCCCAGCACCGTAGGGTGTGGCTGACTCCCATGAGGGGGGACTTTTTAAAAATATGCTGGTGCATGATCCCAATCACAGTCTCGGCATGACTGAGATGCTCCATGCACCCCCTTTTTGGGGTTTTGAGGCCACACCTGGGGTGCTCAGGGGCTACTCAGGGACAGAACCCAACTGTGTGCTCCAGTTCCCTGAGCCCTCTCAGTGGCCCATACATTTTATTTTATTTTAGTTCTTCCCCTTTGCGGGGGTTCTTTTTTGGTTTCAGGCTACACCCGGCGATGCTCAGGGCTTACTCCTGTCTCTGCTCAGGAATCAGTCCCGGAGGGTCTCAGGGGACCATTATGGGATATCAAGGATCAATTGGTCATATGCAAGGCAAGTGACCTACTCATTGTAGTCTCTCTCCAACTCCCTAAACAAACTTTTTCTTTTAAAGATCAGAGCGACCATGGTAAAGTGCTATTCATGAAACCATATAAGTAACTATACTGTAAATCGTAGTGCATAAAATTTTTTTAAAAATTTACAAGTGAGGGAGCTGGAGTGATAACACAGCGGGTAGGGCATTTGCCTTGCACGCGGCCGACCCGGGTTCGATTCCCAGCATCCCATATGGTCCCCTGAGCACCGCCCGGAGTAATTCCTGAGTGCAGAGCCAGGAGGAACCCCTGTGCATTGCCAGGTGTGACCCAAAAAGCAAAAAAAAAAATTTTAAAGTGCCTGTTAGACTGGTGGGTGGGAATCTCGGGGACACTGGTGGACAGAAGTGGACACTGGTGAAGGGATTGGTGTTGGACCATTGTATGCCTGAAGCCGAATCATGGAAAAACTCTGTAATTCACAGGCTAAATAAAAATCTATTTGAGACTAAATAAAAGGGGTCATCCAGATAGAACAGTGGGCAAGGTACTCGCCTTCTAGGTGGCTGACCAAGGTTTAATCCCCAGCATCCCAGATGGTACGTGCCACCAAGAAGTGATCCCTGAGCTCGGAACCAGGAGTAAGCCCTGAGCACCGCCAGGTGTGGCCCCCAAACCAAAATAGAACAACGCAGGGAAAAAAGGACAGAGTGACCTTGAAAAATGACCAGGACCCTCTCCCAACCCAGATGCCAGGGAAAATGCCTGCATTTGCTTTAAAACCAAAACAATCCGCCAGTCAGGAGAGTCCCAGGCCCCCAGCAGCTCCCACGGGGGCTAATTTCCTTCTGTCCAGACACCCTCTTCCTGCTACAGGATTTGCCCACCCCCCCACCCGGTGAGTCAATCACTCTGATGCATCCAGAAAAATCCTCTTTCCTCGGCGCAGCCGTTCCCTCACTTACTCCCCCAACGCTCAGCTCCGCATCGCCTTCCTTCCTCGGGCCCCCTTCCCTCGCGGCCCCCCACCCCCAAACTCTCTCGGGCTGGAGCTCTTTCTCCCAGAGGTTGCGAGGAGGAAATGTTTCCGAATTGCTGGACGCCCGAGTTTTTGCAAGAGTAAAGTGAAGAGACCTGCTCCAAGAAGCAAAGGAGACGCCAGGGGGGTCGAGGCGGGAGTGGGGGTGGGCTGTGTGCCCGCGGGGAATGGGACGGGAGCTGTCAGGTCTGGACGCGCTGCCCCCGGCCCGACCTAGCTGCTGGGAGCTGGGGAGCGGGGTCGGTACCTGCAGGAACCGTCAGGCGCGCAGCAGCCGTGGGCCAGGTTACAGTGGGAGCTGCAGTCATCCGCTGCAAGAGATGGATGTAGGAGGGGTGAGGTTCTGGGACGCGCGGGGCTCGCGTGGGGGGGCGGGGCCGGGCCGTCCCGGTCATTGCCTGGGCCCAGCTGGGGGGGCTGCAGAGAGACTCATCCCTCTGCAAGGGTCCCGCCCGCCCCGCGGGGAGGAGCGGCTGCAGCGCCGTCTCCGGCCGCCAGAGGGCACCGTGCAAGCGAGGGACGGCGGGGCCGGGCCGGGACCCGAACTCCCGCGCTCGGGGGCGCGCTCACCTCGGGCCGGCGGAACCGGGGCCCCCAGGATGCACAACAGGCACACGAGATGGAGGCAGCGGCAGCCTCTGGGCATGGTCAGCGCCGGCCCCGGGAGGGACGGACAGACGGACGTGCGGACACCTGTGGGAAGGCACAAGCTGGGGGCGGCGGCCGGGTGCGGGGAGCGGGGCCCGGACTGCGGTTCCGAGAGACCCGAGCCGAGCGGGCACGGGGGTGGAGGGGGCGGGAGGAGGGGAGGAGCAGGCCCGGGGAGCGTGGGGGTGCGTGCACCGGGGCAGGGGGAGGAGGAGGAGGAGGAGGGGGAGGAGGAGGAGGAGGAGGCCGGGCGGCGCGGGGCGCGGGGATGCGGCGGCGACGGGGCCAAGCGCGGACGCGAGGGCGGGTCCCGCACCCCACCCACCCTCCCGACCTCCCGGGAGGCGCCCGGGGCGGCCAGCGCGCCCAGCGCGGGCGCTGCACCCCTCGGGCCCCGGGGCGCGGAGGGCGGCCGGCACCGACGGGCCACGCGCGCGCGGCCGCCCGGGAACGCGGGGTCCAGGGGGGCGGCGGCGGGTCCCCGCGCGCGCCCAGGCTCCCGCGCGCCGCCTCCCCGCGCCGCCCGGACCCCCACCCGCGCCCTGCGCGCGCCCCTCACCTCTCGGACCCTCGCCGGCGTCAACGGGAGCCGCGGATCATGGCAGCAGGCTCAGCAGGCGAGCCGGCGCCCGTCCCGCACCCCGCCCGCCCCGGCGCTCCGCCGCGCGCTTGCCATCACGCGCGCCTATATAGCCCCCGCGCGCTGGACACACGCACGGCTTCCCGCCCTCCGCTGTCACCAGCCCACGCCTCCTCCGAGGGTGAACCCCGCGGCGCCCGGCGGCCGCTCCCCTCCCTCGCCCCGCCCTCCGCGCGGGCTGCTCATTGTCATCTCCAGCCTTCCAGGATCTCGCCCCGCGCCTGCCAGCCCGCCCCCGGCCCTTCCCCTCCGAGTCGCGAGCGCGCCCACCCCGCTGCTCTGGGCTCTGTCCGCGACCACGAGACCGGACGGGCACCCTCCCGGCGCTGCAGGTGTGGCTCCCCACGGCCCCGTGCCCGTGGCGTGATCTCAGCTGCTCTGGATGGATCTCGAGCTCGTGGTCCAAGGGCCCACCCCCAGGTCTCGTGGAGAGAGTCGCGGGGTAGGGGGGGATGGCCCACGGCCCAGAGGTCCTGGTGTCGGCAGGATGTGCCACCCCGAGGTCCTGGTGTCGGCAAGACGTGCCATCCCGTTTCTCCTGCGAGGAAAACCCCTCCCGGGTCAAATGATTTCAGATCCAGAGTTCACCGCCTTTAGGGGCCAGAGAGCATAGTGCCTGCCAGGGGTTAGCCCTGAGCACCACGGAGAAGAGTTTACTGCCTTAGGGCCCAACAGAGGCAGGTTAGAGCCCCCTGCAGTGCCTGATGTCCCCCCACCCCCAGTACCTAGCTGGGAGCAGTACCAGCATTGCTGGGTGCCCCCCCCCCAATTAATAAAAGTCATTTTTTCTGTTTGTGTTGTGTTGGGACCTCACCCTGTGGTTCTGGGGGGGAGGGAGAGCCTAGGCCTAGGGCTCCAACGTGCAAAACACCTAAAAAGCACCTTTTTTTTTTCCTTTTTGGGTCACACCCAGCGATGCTCAGGGGTTACACTCAGCTCTGCACTCAGGAATCACTCCTGGCAGTGCTTGGGGGGCCATATGGGATGCAGGGGATCGAACCTGGGTCAGCCGCATGCAAGGCAAATGCCCTACCCGCTGTGCTATCGCTCCAGCCCAAGGGCGCCATTTTTAATATTTTAAAAAAATAATTAGTGGAGTTCATGCACAATTCAATCAGCTGATCAGTGGCTGAATAAATAGCAGCACTCCTACATTAAAAAATAAAAATAAATAAAAATAAATTAAAAGAAGGGCCTTGGGGCTGGAGCGATAGCACAGCTGGGGATGGCCCCCAGACCAAACAAATCAATGTGAAGTCCATGTGGCTGACCCGGGTTCGATCCCCAGCATCCCATATGGTCCCCTGAGCACCACCAGGAGTGTGATTCCTGAGTGTAAAGCCAGGAGTAACCCCTGAGCATCGCCGGATGTGACCCAAAAAGAAAAAAAAACAAAAGAAGGGTCTTGGGCCAAAAAGATAGGACTGGAGTTAAAGGTGCAGTCTTGCATGTGATTGACCCTGGTTCAACCCTGGACACCCTATGTGGTCTCCCGAGCCCCTCCAGAAGTGCTCGCTGAGCACTGATGAGTGGGGTCCCTCCAACCCCCCCCTCCCCAACCAAAATTGATCTCCAGCATCCCAAGCCTGCCAGAAGTGATCCAGAGAAGCACAGCTGGGGATGACCCCCAGATCAAACAAATCAATGTGAAGTCCAGTGTAGCCTGCTAGAAGAACCCTCACCCAGCCCAGGGAGGCGCCGGGACCCTGCCCTAGCCAGGATTCCAGGGGCTGCAGTCACGGCGCTGAGTTTAGCAAGACCCACGGAACTGGGCTGAAGATAATACAGCAGGTAGGGTACTGACCTTGCATACGGCCAACCCGGGTTCGATGCCTGGTACTCCATAGGGTCCCCCAAACCCTGCCAGGAGTGATCCCTGAGTTTAGAGACAGGAGTAAACCCTGAGCATCACTGGGTGTGGCTCACAAACAAACAAAAACAACAAAAGGCCCGCAGAACTGCCTAGCAGCGCCCAGCCCACAAATCCAAAGATGAGTATCTCAGTGGTGGCTGTTTTAAGCATCCAAGTGTTGGCGCAGCTTGTTAGTGTGCTAGCAAGTAACCGAGGAGATCAATTTCCCAGGGCGGGAAGTGGCTGTGTCACGCTGCTTGCTTTGCTTGTGTGAAGATGTGAGCTTGCTTCCTGTCACTATCTTCAGCTGAGCACTGTCGGGAGAACCCTCAGCACTGAGTCAGCACTAGCAGGCCCCGAAACAAGACGAAATTGGTTCCCAGGCCCTCAATTAATTTCTTCTCCAACAAAAAAAAGATGGCTCCATGCCAAATGAGCCATCTTACAAGCGGCCAACATGGTCGACCCGAGTTCGATTCCTCCGCCCCTCTCGGAGAGCCCGGCAAGCTACCGAGAGTATTCGATATGCCAGACACAGTAACAACAAAGTCTCCAATGGAGACGTTACTGGGCCCGCTCGAGCAAATCGACGATCAACGGGAGGGCCTTTACCTTTTTACCTTACCTTTACTACCAATCGCTACTCCATAACCTCTCTCTCTCTCCCCCCCTTTCCCCACTCTTTCTCTTTGTGTCACTTTCTTTTTTATTTCTTCTTGGGTCACACCCAGTGATGCTCAGGGGTTACTCCTGGCTTTGCACTCAGGAATTACCCCTGGCGGTGCTCGGGGGACCATATAGGATTCTGGGAATCGAACCTGGGTCGGCCGCATGCAAGGCAAATGCCCTACCCACTGTGCTATCTCTCCAGCCCCTCTTTGTGTCTCTTTTGGTGTTCGGTTCACACCTGGCAAAGCTCAGACTTACTCCTGACTCTGTGCTCAGGGATCAATCACTCCAGGAGATGTGACTCTGGGAATCATATGTGGTGCCAGGGATTGAACTCGAGTCAGCTGCGTGCAAGCCAAGTGCCTTACCCTCCTTGCACTATATCTCTGGCCCCCCACTCCCTCTTTCTCTATTTATTTTATTTATAATTGTTTTGGTTTTAGGATCCCACACAGCGGTGCTCAGGACCTACCCTTGGCTCTGCATTCAGAAATCATTCATGAAAAATCTTGGGGAACCATATGGGATAGAACCTGGGTGGGCCACACGCAAGGGTGCTCTGGCCAACCCAGAACACCCCATTCCTATACTATCTTTCCAGCCCTGTAATAATCTTGTTTGTGGGTGTCACATGCTCCTACTCCTTTTAAATTTTATTTTATTATTTATGTTATTTTTTTTTGGCTGCACACCCACTGATACTCAGGGGTTACTCCTGGCTCTGCAACTCAGGGCTCACTTGTGATGGTGCTCAGGGTTCTGTGTGGGATGCCAGGGATTGAACCAGGATCGGCTGTGTGCAAGGCCCCTGTATCATTCTGGCCCAGGTCCCTATTCCTAACTTCTGCCTTTTCATATCCTCTAGAACCTGAACTCAACCAATTCTGGATATTTGGACTGTGTTGACTTGCTTATATTTATAAATGCATTCAACAAAAAATCCATTTGGATTTACTGGAGTCTCTCATAAGGGTCACACTATGACCTTTTTTAAAAAAAAATCAATCAATATTTCATTTACCAGTGTATTTATTTTTGTGGTACTGATGGTCAAAGCTGGATGTCACACATATGAGGCTCCACCACTGACCCCCATCTCTGACCCCATGTTATGACTTTTGTGGGCCCTCGACACTTCATGTTCATGGAGAATATCCAGAAGAGGATGCTAAATTTTGTATTGTATGACTGTGTAGGTCTGAAGTTGAATATAACCCAGGATTGTCTTTTTTTTATTTTGGGGTCACACCTGGCGATGCACAGGGGTTACTCCCGGCTCTGCATTCAGGAATTACCCCTGGTGGTGCTCAGGGGACCATATGGGATGCTGGGAATTGAACCCGGGTCAGCTGAGTGCAAGGCAAACGCCCTATCCACTGTGCTATCGCTCCAGCCCCTCATCCAGGATTGTCATATGTGCAGTTTATTTTGCTTATTATTTGGAGTGGGAGGGCGTTGGCCTGTATCTGATGGTGGTGGCATTCATTCCTGGCTATTCCCAGCTCCATGCTCAGGAGTGACACCTGATGGTATTTGGGGGACCACACATGGTGCTGGGAATTGAATCATGATTGGTGGCATGCAAAGCAAGTGCCCTGAACCCCTGTACTATCCTGTATGTTTTTTCTGATTATAGGGGCTGGAGTGATAGTACAGAGGGTTGTGCGTTTGCTTTGCATGCAGCTGACCTGGGTTTGATCCCCAGCACTCTATATGGTACCCTGAACCCACCAGTAGTGATTCCTGAATCAGGAGTAAACTCTGAGCACTGCCAGATGTGGAAACTCTCCCCCCCCCCCTGCACACGCATTTTTTTTCTGATTTAAAAATAAATTAGCAGGGGCTGGAGAGATAGCACAGCGGGTAGGATGTTTGCCTTGCACGCGG